TTCATTTTATGGACAGTTGACTAACCAACTGATGATATCGGTGCTCTATTTTTGGAAGGAAGATTTTTATCTAATTGATCTGTAGACATTTCACAATTTCCAAAATCACATTAAAAAAACCACAAGTCAAACTTGTAATTTCTCCCTCTCTCTCTCTCTCTCTCTCTCTCTCTCTCTCTCTCTCTCTCTCTCTCTCTCTGTGTGTGTGTGTGTGTGTGTGTGTGTGTGTGTGTGTGTGGTGAAGAAACGATAGATACAATTTACCATTTTCATGCATTACTCCATAATCCACAGTGCTCTGGACAGTTCTGCAGAGTGTATACAGCTGCTTCAGGATATTTAATACTTTGTATCTAAAATAATTGCTATTGTTTTAATGAGGAAGATGTTGCTTACTGATAGGCAGAATTCCATCTTCTCCCCCCCAGCACCCCCAAGCATTCCATGTTGCTATTCAAAAACATTTTCCTTGTTGCTTCACCAGGCAATTAGAAAACACACTATTATGAAGTTAAGTATATGATCATAAAGTCAATTTTAAAGTTGATTTTTAATATCTCAAATCCATACATTTGAAAAAGCTCCTTTTCTCCATGGGGGAAACTGTGCACATTTAAGAAATATATTTAAATAATATGTACATTTAGAAAAAACACAAAAAATTCCATGTGGCCTGAAGGTAAGAGAAAGCTTGCCATCCAGCGTGCATCCAAATCAGAAAAAGGTTGGTGGTTGAAAAACAAGAACCTCAACAACAGCAAGCTGGGTGGATTCACCCATTCCTACTCCTTGGAAGAAACACAGGATAGAAATGTAACAAATAACATGATAAGCAAATGAAATGAACCAAGTTAAAGGGTCCACGTGCCTTGTATGCTATGAGAAAACCAAGCCTGTGCTAAACAGGAAGAAAATTGGAAGAAAACCTTCTTAAGTAGAGGGAGAAACAAAGGTCAGATGTGATCCCCTTGGGTTTCTCTGGTGGTTCCCTTTCCTTGACCTCCAACTTACTTTCACCTAAGCACCAAGTATTTGAAGTATTTGGCAGCTTCCCAGCTTCTGTGCAGTTTAAAAGGTACAAATGCCTCTCCTAAGGCTTAGTTACTGGTAGTAGGAACTTGAGGCTACAATATCTTGCTTTTTTTCTTATTTGTAGCAATGTCCCCTTTAACTGTGGCCTCCTCCCACCATAAGAATGGAGCCCCCAAAACAGAATATGCTCTTAGGTTGATAAGATGTTCAACACCATTCTTCTAAAGGAAGAGTCTCATGTATCAAAGGAGAACATTCTTGTGGTTGGGCTAGTATCCAAAAAGAATTGAATAGAGGCATCATATAAAATTCCAGTTGGGATCTAGTGACCAAGAAACTGTTAAGTGACATCATTCTGTTTATCACTGCTACAGTTTTGAGGGCAGTGACTTTAAAAACACCTTATGAAATCGCACCTGGGGTTTTACTGACTTTTGGGAGAAAAAATAAAATTCCACTTGCCAGTTTATGAAGAATACCAGGGTTGAGCATTGCTGAATAATCACTGCTACCTCTAAGCTACTTGCATATAAACTGTCTCCCAGTAGTAAATCTGGGAGACAAGGGTTGGAAGAAGACACGAAGGGTGAACACTGACTGGATCCGAGGCCTTTTGAAGGTATTGCCACCATGAAAACCAAACCAGTGATCATTCAGCAGAGCTCCAGTAATTGTGGCAGTCTTGCTTAACTGTGGAAGGTGTAAAAATACAAGGAATAAATGCGAATGTGTATCCTGCAGCTTATCTGCTTCTCTTCTCATTCCCTGTTAAGCTCGGTAGATTTGACAGGGAATGTGAAACCCTCTTTTCAAACACCCATGTGGGATGAAATTTATGGACATTATAGCAGGGCGATGCATGTAGTTTCCTGAATTCAAAGATTCGGTTTGCTTACCTGAGAAATAGGTATCTGCCAGGAGATTAGTTGGTCTTCAAAAGGAAGAGCAAGTTTACAAAGGCATTAAAAATGAAACACATTGATCCAGCATTGTCTTGAAGGCTCACGTGGCACACGTGATTCTCAGCAAATTTCTCCACCTAAGGCTGCTGTAACAACAGGGAATCTTGCTGCAGAGAGAGAGTTTAACCAGTTTATCCACACTCTATAGATCGAAATAATGCAGCAAGTTGTACAGGAGTCTGTTCAGAGACCCTGGGTTGCACAAAACAGTTACTTGGGAAATACATGTTGCCAGTTCTTCAGTTCTTTCCAATTGAAATGCGCAGTGCAGATGGCTACTGGGATATCAGGAGGCATCAAGCACACACACCCCTGCCTGATTCCTGCAACATGTCTCTTACCTTGATTTTCTTCAATGGACAATAGCACCAGCAGACGCTTTAACACACCTGGAAGTTTGGAAGTTTAACACACCTGGATAATGGAAGTTTAACCACAACTCCTGCTACCTCCAGTAGAGAAAGATTGTGTGAACAGGCGCTGGGAAAGATCTTACCCTCCTACTTGGGGTATATAGTACTGAAACAGATGGATATGGTCTTGCTCAGTCTAAGGCAGTGTCTTGTGTCCATACTGGAAGCAGCTCTTGCACACTGAATGGAGGGAAAACCATAGGTCTACTGATTAGCTAACAACTTCACAGTTTTCCTTTATGTGGTACCTTCCATGTTTTTGCCTACAGTTCCTATCAGCCCCAGCCAGCACAACCACTGGGCAGGATGCTAGGAGTTACCGTCCAAAATACCTGAAGGACAACATGATGAGAAAAGCTACTTTTAACAAATGAACACAGAAAAGACTCAGAGAGCCATTCTCCATTAATGCCTAGTGACTCGCACTCCTCATTTACCGCAATAAAATGGTTCAAGTTGTCTTCTTATAACCACAGAAAATGCTTGATAGGTCCCACAGTTCTTTTCCTCCCAATATCATGCCTTGCCCACAGCCGAGTGCACAAGGTAAAGGCATGGCAGAATTCCAGAGAAGGTGTCAGGAAGACAAACACTCAAAACAACCTTAGGCTGGCAATAGAAAGCTCCTCTTTCGATTATTTTAAAATAGAAGGGGCAGAAAAGTGGTGGTGCAGGAAAGATGATCACATTCCGCTACATGACAAAGGTGGAATTGCACTATTCCCAATTTGGTTGCCTTCTCCCAAAAAATAGGATGCGTTTCATCTGGCGTAAATGAAAAATGAGAGATAAGAGTGCAGCTTGAGGGATAAACAGGGGGCAGGAGGTTGAATGCAAAGGCCCTTTCGTCCCTCCAGCTCCACTATTCTATGATTCTGGGGAATAACAAAGCACCTAAAATGGGTTCAGTCTGCCAGCTTCCTAGGATGTTGAAGGGTGGATCCTTAGAAACCACATCTCTCATGTTTGCAAAGTCCCGGAGAGCACAGAATGGGAGGAAGATCTGGGGAATTATAGACTTGTCAGACAAAATAATTGGAAAATTCTAGGGCAGATTGTAAAGCAGGGCAGTTACAGTACACCTTTCAGGTGTCTAAAGGGATGTCATACAGAAGAGGAGTGCAACCTGTTCTCCATCATCCAAGAGCACTGGCCAGAGGGCAGGGGGCTGGACCTGATGGCCTTCTTGGTTCCTTCCAACTGTATTCTATGCCTCTGTGATTAAGCCAAAGTTTTTGCAGCTAACTTACACATTTCTCTTACATATTTCTTACCCATGCTTCCAATCTCCCTTTAGAAGTCGTTTCTATGTGCACCTGAAAGGACCTGTTGTATCTATTCCTTGCAAAGCATCCGTTTCACAGATGGTGCTAAGTGAAGGCTATTTTACTTCCACGGAGGCATGCCTATGACAGCAGCCTCAGTCCTATGGAAAAGGCACACGGAATTTCTTGGCTAATACAAGAGTCAGGAAAAGGCAGCCATGTGGCTGGCCTGTCAGCCCTCAAACGATGAAAGATACGGGTTGCCAACTGGGCTCGAAGAGAATCCCTGTCAGGATCGGACGCCACGGTCCAGGTCCCCCGGCCCAGGATGGTGAAAGCAGCATGCGTCACCTGGCTTGTGCCTGCAGGGCCAGGATCAGACCTGTAGGCATTCACGAGGACTGGAGCCTGAACAGTCATGCAATGCAGCTGGGAGCCCTGGAAGTCTCTGCCCAAGGCTTTCCTGACCCGAGCAGCTTTGCACAACATCACGGGCCTTTGCGATAGACGTCTGGTGCACTTGCTGCTGCCGCCAGTCTTTTCTTGGAGCCTGTTCCTGGCTTTGGCTTGCCAGGGGCCCAGTTCTTGCTTTTGCTGCTGGTTCTGCCGTTACTTGCCAGCGTCCGACTTGGACCTTCCATGTCTTTTGAGTTATTGGACTTTGTTGTGCCTGGTTCTGCCTTTGCCTCTAGATGTGCCAGGCCTTGCCGGGTATCTGACCACCACTTACTCCTGGCTGTATTTGCTTCTGGTATTGCCATGCTTGAATGGTCTGACCCTTGCTTGTTCTGTCTTTGCCCCTGGCCCTCCAGCGTCCTGCTAAGACCTCCTTCATCCCTGGACTTGGCGTTCCAGCTACAGAACCTGTTGCCTATGCCCCAGGCTGGATGCCCCATTCAGACAGGGCCAAGGAATTGTGTGGGACTAGGCCTGTCCTTACTCTTGAGTTCAGAATTAAAATCCACTGTGAGAAAACGTTATGCTGCTTTGAAGTTATTAGGCCAAACTATTGTTAAGCATCTCAAATATTTGATTTATCAAGCACTGTTATGCAGATTTCATTGTTATGCATTGCTGTAGGAAAGCTCAAGTCATAAATTGTCTGTGCTTGTTGAAACTTGAAATACATTTTATGATGGTTGGAACTGCCCAGGAAAACATTCAATAAAGCAAAAGACTTTGAAATACAGTATTTGCCTTGCCTGAGGCAGCTTTGTCTGGGGCAACAAAATGACCCCAAATGCAAGCAAAGCTAGCTTTGAATTTGATACTGGATGAAAGTTAAGAGCATTTTATTTTGCTAAATTAATCCAAGCACTACAATCCTGTTCAGCAAGCAAATATTTTAATAATTAGGGACAAAAGACAGCAGGGCTCACTGTTTATTTCCAACTTTTCCAGTAAAAATAACTTCGGTTCCTTAAAATATTGTTTTTAAAATTTTTAGTACATAGAAACCAGTATAACCAAGGAGCATGAAACACGGAAAATAAGATGTCGGGCAGAAGCCCTGGCTGTCTGTAGAAATACAGTGCTCAAAACATTCCAGCTCCCACAGAGAGTAATATACTATTTCCATCCTAATGAAAACCACACTTATACCAGGATCTAAAACAGTATTACTTGGAACCTAATCCCACCAATTTCAATAAAACTGACTGCTGTTTCAGGCATTCAGATAAAGGAGGTAAAGAGGGCTTGCTTTTCTCCCCTTGCTTCCAGTGCATTTGTTTGATGCAGGAATACATTTCCTGAGGTAAATGAGCATCTCTCCCTTTCTTACAAGAGCCGAAAGCCAAAGGAGAGGAAGTATTCAGACTCCAGTGTTTCTTCTCTTGTCACTTCTTGCGACCATTGTTCTCTTCCATGCAATAAGCTTAAACCTTGCCATTACTTTACACATATGTGTATGGGTATCATATGATTAGCAGGCCTGAGCCAAAGTGAGGAACGTTTCTTCGTGCAGAACTTTGCTCCCCAGAAAAAAGAGTGGCGATAAGATCACCTGGCACCTGTTTCTGTGGAATCCCTCTTTTATCTGCAACAGCCACCTGAAAAGAGAAAATCTGCAGCAATGGGGGAAGTAAACCTTTCCCTTCTCATCTTAGCAGTGCCCTGCTGGGAGACTGAGAGGAATCATATTCAGCAAAAGGCGATTCCAATCCCACACTACCCAGGAAGATGCTCTTTCAGAGACAATTTCATCTCCCTTCAGATGTCAGCTTTTCCTGGGAGATCATCTAGCGGTTAAGCAAGAGGACAGAGGTTGGATTTCAACTCATGATGCAATTTCACTTGGGTAAAGCTGGAGAAAGTTCAGCCATGATGCAAGTTCAGCTGACAACAGAAAGGAAAAAATTCAAGCTGGCACAGAGACGCAGGTGCTTCAGTGCTTTGACTACTTTGCCTGGCATGGGACGATTCTTACGATAAGCTTATAGACTAATAAAAAGTATAACAAAAACTCAGTAAGTTGAAATGCGCAGTAAGATGCTCAGATCCTAATTTTCCAATAGGCTGGTGAAATGGGCAGCATAGACAACATCTGAATTGGCTTTCTCCAACCTGAAGCATTCCACATGGCTGATGGGATTTATAGTTCAAAGTATCTGGAGGGAAACAGCAGAATGCCGAGCTGAATGGTGATCTAAAAGACTGCCAGAGAAGTTCACGCATGGGAGTCTCTCCTCCAAGCCTGCCCCATTCAGTTCCTTTACTCCATTAGCTTCACCCAAGGCATCCAAGCATTATGGGTACAGCACGGTGCTGTGATGCATCCACTGCACCAGAAACCTCCCCCTCCCCAGCTCCAGTCAACTGAAATCCTGTCACTATCCTTTCTTGATGATCTTCCCATCCTGCTGTGAATGCTTATAAGAAAGGGGCAAATGCTCAGCTCCTGGCCGCCCTCACCCTATGGCATGCCATTGATTGCACTGTGCCACCCACCGGGGCTTGCAGAGACCTCTGTGTGCAGGCTGCTCACATGAGGAGCATGGGTAGACCCCCAGGGTGGACCACCTGAACCCTGGGGGCTGAAGTAAAACCATGTGCCCCAAAGGGATCTGTGATGGCTGATGCTGGCCAACTGCTCCAAGCATCACTTGTGACTTCTCAACCGAACAAGAGATCTCCCTTTCAAGGAATTGCACAGATGGAGACCACACTGACGCAGACTCCCCACTCGCTCTCTCTTCTTACTGGCCATTTGTTTTGTGCCAAGGCCAGATCTGCTGCAACTATCTGGCCAAGTATCACTGGCATGGGCGCACCCATGACAAACCCCTGAGTACCAGGCCTGCCTCTGTCATATACTTTCTTCATGGTCTTGCTTGGATAATTCACCAATAACGTGGCAACTCCCCGCATGTCCAGATACTGCTCAAATAGACTTCTGATAGCCAAGCGGCAGCAGCAGGTTTACTCATTGGTACTGCGTTAATAACAAAGGGATAAAACATAATCATTACCCAAGTACAGATTCATCACAGCTTAACAAACCTGATACAAAGTCTAGCACACAAAGAAAAGAAGAAAAAGTGCACATTTAACAGTCATGATTACTTCTTTCTTGAAGGACTTCATTCTCCAAAGACAATAAGCCAAGGCAGACATGGTGGCCCGTCCAAACAGCCACAGGGGCTTGATACGTCTGCTGGGACCAGCTACGAAGTAGTAAGACAGTGTTCTACGTTCATCTGAACTTTAATTTAGGCTGGATATCAGCTGAAGAAGAAAGCAAGCTGGGGATGTGGGCTGCTCTGGGATATAATAAAAACACCAACAAGAGCAAATATTTGCTGACTATAAAACATCTCATTGCACCCAGAAACATCTTTGCTTAACTGTCTTCTTGTAACTTCCAGCTTAAAGAAGATTAAACAATGAAAGAGGAAGTGAAAAGTGCTCTTGTTCCTTCTGACATTCTCAGTAGGTCCAAACAAAAGTATAAATGAAACCCTTGTTGTTCTTGGAATGTAACCTCATTGTTATAGTATATGAAATTGTTCCACTAGATCGTTTTACAGAAAAAATAACCTACAGCAATTAAACCAGAAGCTCAGGGAACAACGGAGCCAATTTTTCTGATGCTTGTATACACAGCTATTTCAGCTTTTGGCATATTAGATAAATCCAAGTAAAAATCTTTTTTCCTTCAAACACCTTGGAATCCTTCACCAAACCTAGCTGAACTGACTCACTCATCAAAACAGAATTATATCACTGAGTTCCCATAGGCACACGGCAGGAACAGGACTGGATTTTGAGCAATGACCGGTTTCACTAAACTTGCTTGTCTGCATGCGGTTATTTTGTATCTGCTCCTCTTTCAAAAACACTTCACACGAGACAAAATAAGAAAAGTAAACAGCACCCATGTACGTGACAAATCAATCTGTTTTGCTTCATCCATTCAACATTGGAGTTTTGATTCCTTTTGAGGACCACTCAATTACTGACCTTGTATTGAGGCTTAGAAAAGAAAATCAATTCCATATTCAAGAGCACATCCATTTTCACAAGTCTTTTTGCATGCACACTTTTGAGCTTTTGCTCGTAAAATCATCTGGTAATTGAGACTCACTTCAAAATGTAAAAAATACTACATTCCATCCTGCAATGGTCTGGTCTGTCTTAACTATCCATTCAAGTATCTCATCCAAGCCTAAATGTCAGTGTTTTCTCTTTTCTCAGTGAGGTTACAGGTATGCAATTGGATTTAGGAGCAGAGGGCTTGTTCCTGCAAAGCAGTTTTTTTTTTTTAATTCAAAGCTGGATATAAACAGTGCAGCCATCAAAAGAGTACCAGATCTCAGCTCTTCAAACATTTTCCAGTGACATATTAAAAAAAAAATCTATCTATACCAGAGAAAAGTTTTTCCACTAGAAGCTGACTTTTAAATAAAATTTACAGTAACTTTGGACCTACAGTCTATATATTTGATGTACCTTTTATTTTCTAAATGCAAAAATATCTTTTTTAAATTATCTACTGGAATGAATTAAAATGAATTGTCTCGAAACGTTATTTTTAAGTACATTCAGGTACTTAAAAAACCCTTTTGATATATTAATCCGTTGATAAATAATTCCGTCAGAAATCTACCAGGCTGTGTCAACCAGCCACAGTGACCCAGAGATGCTTTCTAACAAGAGAGGGGTGCAATTAAGCCAGACCTCTCCACAGTGCTTCAGAGAATACAGCTCGCTGAAACAATACTGAAGTGGCTTTCTTCCATAGATTTGACTGTTAAGTGAATTAACTCTGCAGTTCAGGCACAGGCCGGCTTGGCCAGGGTTAATCACAGGCAAATGCTTCATTTCCAGGGCCGTTCCACAGGTATTTCTGGCAGTGCAACTGTATATCTTGGGTCGAGTTTAGGTATGAAATCCTTGAAATGCATAGATGCTTCCGTACCAAATACATTCAGGACCTTCCTGTTCATTACAGCAAACCTAAAAAATACAAGATGTATGATTACATTAATGCATTACTAAATAATTCAGATATGGATATGGTATGAACAGGACTGCTTTGCTTACTGCTGGAGTACACGGGCAAAATTTTAAGTAACTATGCACACACTACTGGAAAAAATACTGAAATTATGGATTTGCGAAGAGACCAAAATGTCATATGCATGTCTGCAGAATAATTAAAAAAAAAACTCAAACAGACCCATCTGCTCCATATACAGGCCAGGAAGGTAATTTTTGCTAGAAGCTTTCAAAAGCTCATGTTCAAACCTAATGTTCAAAATAGTTTAAATGACCTCTTTAATCAGATTTATTACAAGAAAGCAACTAGCTTTCAACCTGTGCAACTTCAACATGAGTTACTTTTAATGGTTTTAATTTTAATGGTTTTAATACTTTTAATTGTAATAGTTCTCTCCTTGGAACTATCATTGCAACACTAATTTGCAAACTAAGGACATGTTTAGAACAACCTTTTACTCATTTAATCTACTGCTCTTACTGGCTGCGTAACATGGGAGCAAATGCAAACCTCTATTCACTATGGCTAAATCCTGAATTAAGAAAAGTTCTTGTGAACAGACAGAAAACCAACCTTGAGACACAAGCAAGTCTAGAGATGTTCAAGGGACACACCCTGCATTCGTATAATATTGACATATTCACATCCATCCATCTTTTTCATAAGAGCGTGTAGTGCAGCTACACAAGGGGAATTGTCACTGCACAACTGCAACCACCATCAGTTACTCACCTTCCCTTGGTTAGCCGTAATAGGAATTTCCAGTATGAAGGTCTCAGGTTCTGAACTTCCATCACAGCCTGTGACAAAAAAGTCTTAACTTAGAAAAAAGTGCAGGTCGCAATGTTTTTTTTTATTCTGACATAATGAAGATAAATGTTACCTTCCTGAAATTCTCACCACATCTTTTTTTCTTTCAGAAGATCAAGGAAGGGAATCGGCCATCATTGACTAGATTCTGACTACGGGTGTGTGAGGAACCCATCAGATCCCCTTGCTTGGTTTCCTGGACTCCAGCCTGCTTTGCAGAAGCCTGGAGTCCATGTTCTGGCAAGGGAGCCCTGCGTTTGCACGTGCTTGCTAGGATCTGATCCTCATGCACTGCACAGAGTGCCTGCTTGAGTGCCAGCAGGAGGCCGCTCCTCGTGCGGAGAAAGGCCGGTTGCGGGGTGCTTGCTTGGGAAGGGCCACCAGGAAAGCTGCCTCTTGACCAATGCAGTTGGCACAGAACCTGTGCAACTTGGCCTCCACGAACATTTGCAGACTTTCTCTCCACTCGGCTTGCTTTGGAACACTGGGCTGAGTGCAACAGGAAGCCCATAGATGCTTGGAGGGATGGGTTCCAACAAGGTTCATCCCAATCCTACTTCTGGCCCAGAGAAAAGAGTTAGCTGAGGAGCTGAAAAGAGCAGGAGCTTTGGGGAAAAGTGACCATGTGATGCAGAAGTATTTCTGATGGAAAATTAAAGCTGAAAGTAGTCAAAGGTGTACTTTGGCCTTCAGAAAACTCAGTTTTACTGAACTTGGTAATGCTAAGTTTGAGTCCATGGCAGGAAAATCTAAGAATGAAAAGGAGTTAAAAAGCAAAGGCATTCCTTAAAAAGAGAGAGAAAGAGATACTAAAAGCTCAATCAAAAACAGCCCAATGAGGAAAACAATGAAAGACAACAGAAGAAGCCAGTGCGGCTACTCAAAAGGTGTATCAGTGTTCTGAAAAATAAAAAGGACACATATAAGAGGAAGAAAGAGGGACATGTCACCGAGAAAGTATGCAAGCCAGAGATCCTAACTTGCAGAGATGGTCTTGGGCAGGCTAAAGCTCCAAATGAGTGGAACTTGACAAGGCATGGAATAGTAAGGAAAATAACTTCTTCAGATATATTCAAGCGGAGGGAAAAAATAGTGGTAGACAAGTTGCTCAGCCAAGAGGGCAAAATTTTATATGCCAAAGAAAAGGCTGATCTGCACAGCTATTTTGTTTCTGCCTTTCCCCAAAGAGGATCTACACTCTTTCTGGCACATGTGAAAAAAGGTTGAAGAGGTAAGAATGCAGCTGAAGGATGACTGAGAGATGGCCATGGAGTATCAAAGCATTCTAAATGAGTTCAAGTCCCCAGGTCCATATAAATAGCATTCTAGGATTCTGTAGGATTTAGAGAAGGAAGTCTCAGACCCTCTTTCTATTATGCTTAAGAAATTCTTGTGCAAGGGCAAAGCACTGGAGGAAAGCAAAAGTTGTCCCTATCTTCGAAAGGGGAAAAAAAAGAAGATCTGGGACTTCCAGACCATTCAGTCTGACATCAGTGACTGAGAAATTTCTAGAAGAGACTGTAAAGCACTCAGTCTGTAGGCATCTTAATATGAATGGAATAATCACTGAAAATCAGCATGGATTTGTCCAGAAGTCCAGCCAGACTAAAATTATTTTGATTTTAAAAATTAGATACTATCTTTAGTAGATTATGGGAATGCTGTGGAGGTAATATATCTTGCCTGAATCAAGGCATTTGACAAAGTGCCCCATGACAGTCTGATTAGCATGCAATTAAGTCTGGGCCGAATGGCACTACTACTAAGTAAATCCACCACTGGTTGTAAAGCCATACTCAAAGAGTTTCATAATAGTTTCACATTAAAGAAGAGGGATTTATCAATTGGGGCGCAGCACCATTTGCTCCTGGGCCCTGTACGGTCCAACCTTTGTATTAATGACTTCAGGGGGATGCTTGCCCAATTTTCAGGTGACACCAAATGGAAAAGGATAGCTAATTCAAAATGGTATTGAGAGGATAGAAAACCCCAATGGACACCCACCACTGGTTGTAAAGCCATACTCAAAGAGTTTCATAATAGTTTCACATTAAAGAAGAGGGATTTATCAATTGGGGCGCAGCACCATTTGCTCCTGGGCCCTGTACGGTCCAACCTTTGTATTAATGACTTCAGGGGGATGCTTGCCCAATTTTCAGGTGACACCAAATGGAAAAGGATAGCTAATTCAAAATGGTATTGAGAGGATAGAAAACCCCAATGGACACCATACATTCCTTTGAACAGGGCTTACACATTAATTAATTTATTAAATGTATAACCCACCCACCCCCAATATTCCAACTCAGGACACTCTGGATGGTGATGGGACGCCAACAAAAACATCAAGCGTGACAGTATAGGAGTTAACCAGTTATCATACCCATGAAAAACAAGATCAAATTCCCCCCTCCCACACTGGAAATCCTTGTTTCTTCACTGTGACTATTCATTATTTATTAGAGTTGAGCAGGGCTGTCAAGATCATTTTGCAGGGCGCTTGGGCAAAGGGTTGCCATACGTCTGAGGTGGCTTGATGGCATGTAACAGCAGTAGCTTTAGAGAAAACACTGGACGGGTTCCAATGGAAGAGCAACACTTACTGCCTGGAAGCAGATGGCTGTGGCTATAGCATAGATGATACTGTCCGCATGAGGGAAATAGGGAACCTTTCCGGCTTCGATGCCTTTGAAATACATAGCCTGTAAAATGAAATAAACACTGAACAAACCGAACACCAAGGCAGTGAAAGGTTCCCGAAAATAGGAAATGCAACGCCATAAAAACAGGGGTGGGCCCCAGATGCAGGGACTGTGGGATTGCGACAGCGGCGCTGCTGCTCCATACCTTTCTTGTTCTATGCAGCATGAGAGATAAAGAGAACAGACCCTGCTGAGGCCAGGGGTTGGCCATCCCTACGGGAAATTCACCACATGTCTCCTGCTGCGTAAGGGGTTACTTTCCTAGCTGCCTTCATAATGGCAAGAAGGGACCACAGATCACTGGTTCTGCATGTAGAAGGTCCCTGCTTTAATCCCCAGCAGGGAATGAGAAAAGAGCAGAGGATTCTGCTCAATCCAAAGGAGCAGAACCAGGCAATGGCAGCAGATTCCATGCTTGAACGGAAACTCCCTGGGTGGCATGGCAGGGCTTCTATTGTTCTCCACCAAATGCCAGCTGAGCCTCTGAAGGGGAAATATGATGTGGGGACACTCATTCTGTACATGTGCTTATTGGAGATGGTACAGTCGCCTCCTTGAAAATTTGACACACTCTGCGTCTTATGAAAGAACTCGGCACAGTTTGCACCCTGCTATGCCCACAAGAACACCAAACAGAGCTTATGCCTCAGCGTTCCTGCAGAGGATTCCCATCCTGTATTGGGCCGTTTTATAATACTGGATTGCAATTCAGATTTCCATCTGAAGCAAATTTTCTGGAGGTGGGTTTATAAATGGTGTGGAAAATCAGCCACCCATAATGTCCCGCTAAGTGGGAAAAGAATTTTACCGCACATATGAACCTGATCAGGAATCTAAGGAAAAAAAGAAGTTAGAAAATCCTAGTTAGCACCAACAGATTTTACCGGTACCTATTTCTCCAAGTGGCTAGATGTCTTCCTCCTATATGTTACCAGCCACATTTGTACATAATAGTAAAACAGGATTCCCATCTTTTCCAGGATTAAGGTGAGGACATTTTAAGCTTGACATACTGGCCAGGTTTGCGTGATCATTTTGTCTTACAGAAGTTTAAATAGGCCACTTATTTAAGTAATTTATGGCATAAGTCAGGCCCCCATTTTGTAACCCAATCCCCCTTCATAGGTTGTGTTGTTCACCCCCAAAGAAGGCACATTGTTTCTATCATTAACAAACTACCCACAAGCCTAAAGCAGCCCATGGATTCTGGGTGGTCTGTTAGCCAAGGCAGCAACCCAACTCAGTGGGTTCAGAAGACTACACAACTTCTGGGCAAGGGGTGTGATGTGACACATTTCACAAATGACGCTGCCTTATTTAAGCCAGCACAGGTTAAAGCAATTGTGCAAAACAGGTCAATTTAAGATTCAGATCGTGAGAGGGATCCAAGTAATACAGTAATTTTGCTTCCTGGGCATTTTTATGGAGCAGAAACTAAAGTTGTAGCCCTCTGCAAATCATGTAACATCGCATACCCTTCTGAGTTTTTCTTTTTCCTTTTCTTTTTTGGAAAAAAAAATAGATGTTTATTTTCATCTACATATTTTCGCCTCCTAAGCAACATGTTCCTCGTTGGTGAGTTAGTGTTGGCCACAGTCACACAGCGAATCCTACAGAGATCCTGATTTCATCACTGTCAGAACGCCCTGGAGTAAACTCCAGACACAAGCCACCAGCCGCACCAGCAGCTGCAGCCGCAGGCTCATACGTTGCTATGCAGCAAGTTTCAAAGCACTCAAGCTCCCCGTCTGATGCGGGAGCCTTTAAGCAAGTAAAGCGATGCAAGAAGCAAAAGCCAACAAGTGCAGGAAATACTGCATGTTCAAACCAGTTTTCACACATGACCATTTTCCCTCAAGGAAGTTACTAAAATGTGCCCCAGCCTTCCAGCCTAACTTCCTTGCTTCCAAATGCAACCAAGGGGGAAAGACTAGCTGAGTTACAAAGCTAAAACAGAATCATGGTGCTCCGGTTGCTCCTTCTGAGGAAACTGGTGCTCACAAAGAACTGGCTTTGCTGCTTGTGCTAGTTGGACTGCAGCACCCATTCTGGTGGTGTGGTACAGGCCCTTCCCAATTTATACCCTTTCTCAGTGGAGCACTCTACCATCCCCAACTCAAGCATTCAGATTAGACCTGGGAGTAACATAGAAACATAGAAAAATAGAAACAGTGCAAGTCAGAAGGGGTCTCCCGGGCCATCTAGTCTGACCCCCGGCTCCAGCCAACAACCCCAACCATACCTGAGGAACTTTCTCCCTTTCACTCTGGCCCAGGCAGAAATAAGCTCCTTACCTCCACAAGTTTGGAAGCCAGATACATTGAGATGGTAGTGCTTTTGTAAAACATCATTGACATTCCTGCCAAGGACCCTGCATTAAGAAGAAAACAGCCAGCCAATTCTCAGTACGGTACTGTATGAATTTCCGTGGTAGCATCATTCAGATCAAAAGGCATCAGAATATAAGAACAGCCCTGCCAGACCCAGCGAAAGCCTCTGGTTTCCCACACAGGCAAACCAGCTGCTTACAGGAAGCCCCCAAAGAGGACCCAAATGCAGCAACAGCCTCTCTGCTGTGTTCCCCAGCCAGTGCCTCTGATGTTGGAGGCAATATATGGCCATCAATAGCTGCTGAGAACTTAATTGTCCAATAGCTCCAATAGCATCATAGCACCAGAGTCTCCTTTTGAACCCTTTGAAGTTGCTGGCCATCATGAATTCCCACTATGCCTGTAAGAAGAAGTGCTTCTTGATATCTGTCCTGAATCTCTTGCCTTTTATGTCATGAGATTTCAGGTTCTGGTACTATGAGAGGAGGAAAGCATCTTTCTCTTGACTATCTCTGCACCTTGCATCATCTAATGTAAGTTAATTGACTAAAAAGCCACATACATTGTCACTTTTCCGTGTGAGACAATTGCTTCAAGCCCTTGATCAGTCTGACCACCCATGTCAGGACTTGTTTGCACTTTACAATATCATTTTGAAGGTACAGTGGCCAGTACTGTGTGCATTATTGCGATTTAGGTTTGCACAAAGGCACTGTGCTGACCACGCCACCCCCTGATCTGTTCTTGGCCCTGCATATTTGTAGCCGTTCTGGAATCATTGCCTTTCAGCTCCCTGCAAGCCCTGTCAAGGTTCCTACTGCTCCTATGGCCTGTGTAAACATGCTTTTCAGCAGCTCTCCCTTGACCTTTCACTTTGCACATAGAAGCTGGAGTATTGTGAACATTCAATTCCTGACAGCTCCACTGTAGCTTTAACTGAATGTTTAGGACCATTCTACCACATCTCTGGAGATAAGCTAGTTGCTGATAAAGGCTCCTCACTCTCCCTCCACCATAACATTCACAGAGTTATTCTAAACAAAGCATCAAAGGGCTCTGATTTCAAAGTAGCATGCCAGTGAGCAGGGAGATGCATGGAAAGGAAAGCAGTGGCCCGGGACAACGGCGGCTGTCTCTTGAAGAAAGGCAGATGTACCTGCAATAAGAGCGTGCAGCTCATCATCCAGGTTCCGTACCCAGCGCAGCAAACAGCTCGTACCCTGCATTTGGAGGATAATTATGGCAACACTGTTAGATGATGCAGCACGGGAATCCAAGGAACAAAGCTCCCAATAATATCCTAAAAATTTCAATTAAAAGAGTAAGCCGAACCTTCTGATTACTGTTTTGGCTCCAGGGACCTCTTGATTTATAAAGTAATCTAAACATGGTATTTGAAGAAATTAAAAGGTCATTCTTAAACAGGATCATGCCACAGTCAAATCCAATCTCCCCCTCCCTCTGGGTCTGTGTGTGTGTGTGTGTGTGTGTGTGTGTGTGTGTGTGTGTGTGTGTGTGAAATTACTACCTCTTTCTTTTCTGAGATACTTTTCATTGCATGGTTATTTAATGCTCAGTAAAATTCACCAAACCTCTCTCCACTGAGGCCAACACAGTTTTTACCAACTTGAAAACTACCACTATGGATGATTTATTTTTAGATGTTCTGCCTCACAGGGTTGTTGTGAGAATAAGACTGATAGGAGGAGGAGGATTACATAAACTGTCTTGAGTTCCTTGAAAGGAAAAAAGGCAGCTAAAAATAAAAATAATGCTTACTAAGCAGTGAAACCCTGTTCCATCCTGCTCCTTATTTAGTAAAAAAAAAAAGAGCTTAATTAACTGATTAATGACCATAATTTTTTTTCCTGTTAAACTAATTTGCGATGAACATGCTCAGGGTCAGTACAAATGGCAGGTACCTAGTTTGGGCCCTATCTTTTGGACCATAAAGATACTCATTAAGTCTTGCTGTTGTTGCTGCAAAAAGTAATTTTGGAATAATTAAATGCCATCTTCTCAGCTTTTCAGCACTTTAGAAACTTACTTTGTATATACTGACAAATGACCCGAGAAAAGCCCCAAGCTGGAAATTTTCTTTGTTGTAGAAGAGGGAGAGCAGCCGGGAAGGCTTTGTAAACAGTTGCCGGAATGCTGATGGGATTCGAAGGCAGCACTGGATCAAGTAACCGACACTAAACATCCTAATGAAGCCCTAGAGAAGATATTAAGAACGTGACATTTAAGAGAGGGAGGCAGTGCAAATAAAAGAACAACCAGCAATGTTAGGAACCTCACTTGAAAAAAAAACCTTGGGGAGTTTGCTTTGCAAACATTTGCTGAAACTTCTTGGAACCTGAAATCAAAATGTCCATTTCATTCCCCCTGGAAACCAGAGATTGGGCCATTCTTTTATTCCCAAGGTTTCAAACAGCGGACAAAGGCATCCCTATGTTTATTATTTTGAGATCCCACCCTTCCGCCACAGGGCGCAGGGTGGGGCACATGGCTCTCCTCCCCATTTAGGTTCACAAAAATCCCAATGGGGCAGGCAAGGCTGCAAGATGGTAGCTGTCTCCATTCGCCTTGGTGACTGACCAGTGAGTTCGACCTTGGGTCCCTGCTGCCAGTTCAACACCACACGGACTCTCTGTATGCCAGCCTTTCACAGCCTGGTGCACTTCAGAGGTCTTGGACTGCACCTCCCATTATTTCCAGCCACAACAGCAAATGGCGGTCTGCCACATCTGGAGGACACAGGTCGGACAAGGCTGCTACGGAGATCCAAGCAACTGCTCCTGGAGGATTGAGATTTCTCTGGGTTCTTAACTCAACCCAGAACTTTTGTCTGTCTCGAAAAGGCCCCCAGTCACTTTTCTGGCTCTGGGGCAAGATGGACATCTGCTCATGGCCTACATCCACATCTGGCTAAGGGCAGTTTAAAAAATCCCATTAAAATATACATGCACGAATTGCCTGAATGCTTTATTTTTCCTCCTTGATATCTTTCCAGTGGATCAGTCCTTCCCAACTCAGTTGCCATACACAAAGAAAAACAATGTGGTAGGAGCAGGGTTACGCCTCACATATGAACATCTGGACAAATTACAGAGGGAATTTAGGAAACAATGATTGTTCTGAAACCATGAGAATTAGTTTATATTCAATCTCCAGTAGGTCCAATCTCTGAGTTCTTTTCAATGATCACTTTGCAATGCGTTTGGAGAAGCAAGCACCAAAGCAACAGGAAATCTATAAGCTGAACAGTTACAAGCTTCCCAGCCAATGTTAACAATAAGTTATTGGTTTCATGATTTGTTTCAGTTTGCAGCCCACTCCATCTTTAGGGCTTCGGGTAAGGTCATGTACATTTCATACTGTACCAACTAAACATGTAAAAAAGAGGCCTGCTGACTCAGACCAAGCACCTATCTAGTCCAATTTCCTCAACAGTGACCAGCTAAGTACGTCTCAGAAGCCCAGAGGTACAGTGGGAGCTCACAGCTTCCCCTTGCTGTTTGCCCTGGTCATCTAGAATGCAGAGCTATACTGTCTCTGACCACAGAGGTTCCATTCAGCTGTCAGTGTTAGTAGATGCATACTCCATGAATTTTTCCAACCTGCCTTGGTCTAAGCTAGCAGCCATGACTACACCCCTTGGCGGCGAATACCTTGAATCAATGATGCATTGAATGGAGTACTTTTTTCCCCTCTCTGAATGTGCTGATAACCAATTCCACTGGAAACCTCAAGTTCCAATATTATCTGGAAGGACGTATACCTCTTTATCTACTCTCTTGCCTTTTACAAACCATTCTTGTGTCCCTATTTAATCACTTTAATCACTATGTGCCATCTAGTCAACGGTGACATTATTGCTGAGTGCCCCCTGGAATGCCCAGTCCTTGACAGTCCTGCTCGAAGCTTGTGAGCTCAAGGCTGTGGCTACCTTTATGGAATCGATTATCTCACAGTTGGCCTTCCTTTCCTTCCTTTGCCCTTGACTTTCCCCAGCATGACTTTCTTCTCCAAGCGGTCTTGCCATCTCATGTCGTGATAACACATGTTGCATTGCGATTGTTACAAGGATTTCAGATACCTAAATAGCCAGGTTTTAATCTACTGTCTGCCCCTGGCCTCCTCCCCCTAGTCCCCTTGTATATTTTATTTTTGGATTACACTGAGTCTAAGAAAAAGTCTTTTTTCATGTTTTAAATCCCAAATTTTATTTTTGCAAAGTTTGCTTCTGGGGTCCCTAATACTGGCTTAGCATCTGTACAGTCTTCTCATTATTACTGAGAGTACTGGGAATCCAGCCACCTTTGTATCTGGCCGTTTCTGAATAACTGCATGCTCAAAGGTTCCTGAGGAGCTTGTGGCACGCATCCTTTCTGAATATGTCACCGACAGCTGGCAGGCCAGATACTGGTCCATGCCCACAGTGCATTTCCAGATATCCACGACCAACCAGGAAGTAAACCCTATTATTAACACATTGTATTGCATGCCATTTATATCCCACCTTTTTTCTTCTTGTGAGGAATCCAAGGAAGCTTTCATAGCTCCATTTTACCCTCACAGCGAGAGTCTGAAGCACAATGTACAAAAGGCTGAGGATGGCCACTTGGGTGGTGACAATCCTTTCAGTCCATACTTCTCTGCAAACATGGCTGCACGCTCCACCACAAGTAACTGTCAACCTTACCGACGGTTCTCCAACCTCCACATCACTCACACACATACTCCCACCACAATCAGTCCTCCAGCTTCTTCTATTTGTTTTTAGATCTTTGCATTAGATTGTTCTTCATGCATTATCATCCCGTCCCTGAAAGCTTCTTCAAGTCCCAAGCAATAGTGAGTCTTGGAAATCATGCAGGATTCCATCAGAATGCTGCCAAATCTACATGTAGAATTGGGCTTTTAAACTTCCTTCCCCCAAACAAATTAGCCCCAGGATGGCAAAGTATGGGAGCAAACATGGTAAATCTTATCTGAAAGCTGACAGCTCTGGATGACTCAAGCCACTAAGTCGAGCCAAACCATACACTGAAGGAGGACTCAAAACAACTCCAAGGGTATTGACCTCAAGGAAAATTTCTTCCCAACCCCAAATGCAGATTGTAAAAACAAACATTTCAATAAATTAATACTTCCATAATGTTCACTATCCCTCCCCTCTGAATTTACTGGTTGTCCTTGAGTTCACCCAGAGAACATAGCGCACCTAAGTCCTGTGCAAGCAAAGTGGGCAAGCATGGAATTAATAGCTTAGAAGTCACACATTTTAGGTGCTACAGTCTCTCCTTCCGAATTTGCTGGCTGTACCTAATGTCTACTCTTATTTCTTGGATTTATATCCTTTTTGTCTATGGAAGACTTCTGAAATGGCTAGCATGTAGAAACAAGCTGTCCTCTACAGTTTCAGAGGTAAAGTATTTATTTACTTTTAGAATTAAAGAGGTTTAATTTGTTAAATATAGCTGCAAAAGCTAATCAAAACAAAACAAAACTTTTTTTCTCGCAAGTCTACCAAATCCAGTCTATCTACATTATTTAAAATGCTATTCACTCACCGAGATTATAAGATGGTGTTCCTATTCATGGAAAGTCAAAGGACCTGTTGCAGTTTATGCCCCTACATTCACTACAGAAATGTGAACGGGAAAAACACACGGAAGCAATGCACAAGCTGGTGTGGTGGTGGTGGAGATGAGAGTGCAAATGGTTTGGTGGGAAGTCTGATAAATAAATTGGCTCCAGAAGTGAAAAACACAATTGCCCTTTCATAAAGAAAACGGCAAAACCACACAGGCCTTTCCTTAGAAGACAGCTCCTGTTGATTTTGTACAGACATTCTTAAGAAAAAGCTCAAAAGAACTTGATGCTCTCTTAAAAAGCTCAAGCAACATGTCTCAAACTAGGAAGGAATTTGCCAAGTAATTATGTATGTATCCCTCCCCTCATTCTCTCTCTCCCCCCTCCCCCATGATTGCACCATCCGTGGTCATCCTTCTCTATCCTGACCTAGCTACTGTCAAGCCTTAGCAAGAAATGGCGGCAGCTCCAAATGGAGCTGAAGATGCCTATGGCACAACTGAAAGTTTTTCATCTCATACTCCAGCTACAAATCCCAATTTAAGCAGGAATCCTGAGTATTTCTAACCCAACATACCTAACTGATTTGCTTTGATTGGTAGCACAGTCAGCTACGAAGAAAAATGACACTCAAGGCAGACTGATGCCAATGTGCTTTATTTCTCTGGTGTTTGTACTATTGAATACTTCAAAAAGTAGTGGGGAAGGAGTACAGGGGAAGGAGGGACTAAAAACTGCTAGGATTATGACTGCCCCACCTTCCAAAAGGGATAAGAAGCTCAGGTGCAGTTTGTCAAATCAAAGACAGAAAAAAGGACTATCCATTTCACATTAATCTGGAAAACTAATTTGTGGCAGCAATTGCTGAATATGAGGTTCAGCTCTTTATAAAAAGAAGTTTGATTGCATCACCTGCTGAGCATGTGGCACAGACTTGTTAGGAACCTGGCATCTGCCAGTCCTGCTGCTGGCAATGGAGGGTAATTTGCCAAACTCACAGGGCTCTGAATGGCTACTAGTCATGATGGCTCTATGCTCCCTCTAGCAGCAGCAGCAGGCCCCTGAATGCCAGTCACTGGGGAACAGCAGTGGAAGAGGCGATCTTCCTTCTCTTTCCCCAGAAGGCACCTAGTCAGCTACTGTAGGAAAAAAGACCTCGGATTAGTCTGATCCACTGGGGCTCTTCCTATGTTGCTTCACATGAAGGAGGCTCCTTTCTATTTTAAATATACCATTTAAAAAAACCATGATGATATATTTATAGGGCTGATTGCTGTGTGAATATCATTTTACCAGTTCACTGTGTAAGAATTTTGGGTGTGATTAAACAGGCAAATGTGCACTGATCGCTGTGACGGCAGTCATTACTCGAAATATGTATGCGCAGTGAAATTCAAACCAGAGAGGCCTGTTGAAGTGAAATACTTTCTGTCTTATGCAAGGCTTAAACAGACTACAGAGTGGAAAGTCAGTGCATAAATTACAACTAAATCTAACCACCAACAACCTCTTTTTTTAATTCTGCCCACCAGCAATTAAGAACTCTTTGCATCTCATTAGAACAGCTCTCCCCAACCTGGTTCCATTCTAGCAAGGCCACTGGCTGAACTGACTGAGGGTGATGGAAGTTGAAGTCCAGTGCATCTGGAGGATGAAATGAGTGGACAGCCATCATCATATGCTCTCTTTTTTACTTGCAGTTGGGAAAACAGAAGTGCCTTTACACAGGGAAATGTTCAAAGATCAATTATTACGAATACTTCATGTCCTACTACTTTTCCTCCATGTATGAACACCATTCCTGTTGCTACAACCTTCTACATGGTCAAATCTACCTGCAGAAAAGGCCAGGGCACCTCCACAAATGCTCAGGATGCAATCCAGGTAACTAAGCATTTGTGATTGCATGGTTTTCCCCCTAATGTTGTGGGGCTTTTGTATAGGTCACACTTTCCCCCGTGCTGCTCTTAGTAATTCATGAGAACTGGCAACTGAAAGAGAGATTGGCTAAGATCAATATTCAGCATCCTCACTTGGAGTTCTGATCACTAACAAACATACAAACCCAGTTAAAAACATTGAGTTTGTTAAACATTGGACTGCCCCATATCCCCCAGTGTAAATGGAATTCTGCCTTGGGGTCAAATCGTAGAATGTCATCCCGGACACTAGGAGTGAAACCAGGGATTTGGCTGGCCCTGTTCCTCTTAAGAGGCAGGTAAAGCCATTCCTTGGTGCTGAGAGGCACGGAACTCTGCCTCCCTGAGTACAGAGAAAAGCAAAAGGGACAAAACGGCACAGCAACAATGTTGTCCTCCCTTCAGTGGACCCAGTGGACAGAAAGGGCAAATAGTTCCTGCACAGCACTGCACAAAACTGCTCTGTAGGGCACACGTGTTATATGTCTGCCCCATAATACATTTAGAGATCTATGCCATGCAAGCACTCACATGTGAAGATTTCCCCTTCCCTCTGCCCTGCTGCAGTCCTTGAGCTGCCACCAAACTTGCTCTAAAGGGTTCTCCATCGGATCTGGAGAGTACAGGAGGACAGGGATGCCTCTGCTAGAACTACCCCTTCCTTTGGAGGATGGTCACCATTACATTCAACCCAGTATTTATATCCTGATTATCCTGCAGGTTTTGCTGTATGTTCAGTAAGGTATTGAATGTTGTACTTATGGGCATGGGAAGCTGAATCCATGTTTAGAATTCTATTATTATTACAATTACGTTTATTATATTTCATGCATATTCTGCCTTTATACCAAGAGAAATGGCATTCCACCAGTTGCTAACCATCTGGCTGCAGTTTGCACCACAAAACTTCTGAAACATGGCACTTGCCAAAGTGGGCAAGAGCAGCTGATATTGTATCATATGAATCTTGAGTTGCACCTTATCTTTCACATGCTGTTTTCCACACTTGCTGCAGAAAAACCAAAACCATCAGCTGTTAAAATTTGAACCCTAGAAATATCATGGTCTAGCCACACACAAAAAAGGGGCCACTTTACCCAATGCACAGGATTTTAAAAATGCAAACCCCAAACGAGCTCGGGTCCTCTCCCTCAAAGGAAATGCAAGCAGGTGTTCCCACCTGTGCCAGTCTAATTCCAGCCAAAACATCTCCCTATAGAGTTAACTCTTCCCAAGGAAAGGAAACAAACACTGCTCATATTCTGGGAGAGGATAATTTATCTCAATGGACATGGACTGCCCTCCCTTCACGCAACAACTGTGGACTTTCTCCCATTACCCTTAAAATACATTCACAGGCTAAGTCCAAAAATTCTACCCCAATGTGCCAGAGAAGCACAGCTGTATGGGTGCCGCTGCTGGCCAAGCTGCCGAGCACAGCACATTCCCGGTACTTGAGTTGGGGAACGGCTGCAAGTGGGATCTGTTACACCATTCGGTGCGTAATTAAATTAGTCAAGATTCTCAGAGCTTCGCTTTTCACTCACTTTAACAGCTAACCACAGATACTCACGGACCACTTCTTCGACTTGCGAGGCAATGGTGGTTGCAGTCTCAAGAGAAACTTCTTAAAGGTCCTTGTTAATGGAGCCAGGTGTCAAGGACATCACACAAAAGCTCTTGCATACTGGGGGTTTGCAGTCATTTCGCTAATTCATAGAGTGCTCCTTGCATGTCTCTTTGCACTTTTATTTTATTTTTTTACAGAAATGAAAGAACTACTGCTGGATTGCAGTAAAGGTCCATTATTCTGTTTGCGACAGAGCACCCAGCCAAATATCTCTGAGCATGAAAGGGATGCTGTTTGTCCCTTAGCACCTGGTTTCTGTGGCACAATGTCTCTGTATAAAATGGCTTGCTCAGCTATTGCGGCAAATCAATACTAATTTTATAAACTGGTATACAAATTCTCTATAAATGTGTCAAATTCTGTTTCTTAAGAACCTAAAACATGGTGCTTGAAAACAGCCAGCATTTGAGGGGGGGAATCTATAAACTTAGTGGAGCATCTTAAGCTAAGAAGGCTGGCAGCCAAACACAAGCATCTCATGCTGCACCAAGCCATCCATGCCTGCCAGTATTTATGTCTGTTAAAACCATGTTTTTTAAACAAGCAAGCAGTTAAAATGCAATGCATCACATCTGCATCTAAACTGAAGGCAAGTATAACAGAATAGGTAAGGATAACGTCTAAAAACTTCACTTTCCCTGCTTCATTCATCACAGTACCTGGATACCCTCTAAGGCTGCACAGGGGACCCCACTTCCAGCCAGAAGACACAAGGTCTTCTCCTTCACTGATTATAAAGCGGTCGATGATGGCTAGTCATGACGGCTAAATACTGCCTCCCATAAAAGAGGCTGTATGCCTTTCTATGCCAATTGCTGGGGTGCACAAGTTGAAGCGTGTTCAACTGTGCTTACATCCTGCTTGCAGCCTTGTTGTGGGCATGTGGTTTGGTTGCTGTGTGAACAGAAGCTCGCTCGCTCGCTCACTCATGTGTGTGTGTGTGTGTGTGTGTGTGTGTTGTCTGACTGTGTAAACGGTACAAGAGAGAATGGAGTAGCAGTGACCACTCTGAGCTTTGGTCCTGCCGCCGCCGCCGCCGTGTGGCCCCTGGGCACTTCTCTGGGTGGAACCCTGAGCTCAGGCTGGGAAGGGGCCACCATCCTTGCCCTGAGCACACAGATCAAGCATCCACCCCCACCCCCTGCCGCCCCACATATACCCTGCAAGTGAAATGAAGCTGGTTACACTGTGCAGGTGCATCACGCACAAACACACACTCAGAACAGGAAACGGTCTTTGTTATCTTTTCTGTGAGCGGCACAAACGTTTTCAATTGATATGACTGACTTTTAATAGTTTTCTATCAGGGACTGAGTTTATTTCTTCCTGTCGCTACTCACTTTAATGCAATACGAGATGCAATTATCTTCATAGTGCTTACAGCATCTGTGTCTTGGCCCACATTTGCATCTGGAAAAAGAAAACAAAACTTATCAGTATTGACAAGCGCCCCACAAGTCACATTAAATGAGTATTCAAGTTTGCACCAACAGCAGCTTGTTTATTCCTAAAACAGCCACAAGGTCCCCAAATATGATTGGGATCATGGTGTGCTGGAGAGGGGATAATCCTTTTACCCTATGGTAGGATTACAATAACGACAATGATTATGATGATGCAGTGCCTTGCCCCACAAAGTTGCTTTTGCACCAGAAGATGCGGCTTAAGCCTCAAACTTGCAGTATCATTTATGTATTCATTGTTAGATTTATATCCCACTTTTTTCTTACAAAGGTTCAAAGCAGCCTGCATCATGCTGCTCTTCCTGCTTTCAGTCTTAACCCCACAACTCCTCTGTGAATTAGGTAGGCCTGTGAGTCTATGACTGGCCAAAATCACCCAGTGGGTTCCCTGGCCAAGTGGAGACTAGATCACCTAAGTCCCAATCCTGTGCTCTTAACCACTGCACCACACTGGCTCTCCAGCGAAGACAGGATCTCATCCCCGACTTTGCTTTGTGTTTTGCATAAACTTCACATCTTGCCAGGTTAGCAAAATAGCTTAGCCGTTTTTTTCCTGACTCTGTGCTATGCTTTGGGAGATTCTGAGTGGATCCAAAGGGGGAAACAAAGGAGGGAATGAACACTCACTGGAAACAGATGGAAAGGTAACCATCCCAATCACATATCTGGTCTTTCTGACCGCAGCTTCCCATGCTTTGCAATCAGTGCTTTTATCCAAATATGGGAAATGTTCTGTTCTGTTCTTTAAAGGCAGGTTCCTATTCTCCAGCAATGCCCTCACTCTGACATCACAAACTCAGTCACAGATCACGGAGCGGCAGCATGAGTAAGTGCCGGCGCAGTGGGACCTATCCTCATCTTTACAGTCATTTGCAATGAAGAAATGCTACCATGAGCTGAGACGAAAATCTGTAAATACATCTGCAAATACATACAGCACGACAAAGACAGGATCGTGGCAGGCAGTGCAGTATAATTAGCTGTTGGGAACGCCACAGAAAGGCACAGACAGTTGTATGTTTCTCCTACTAGATTCAGAGGAAGTCTGTAAGGCACACCAAAATGTGTACACTTCACAACTCACAAGACTTCATTTTCCATGAGCATCACAACTGATCTACCATCAGAGGATTATGGCAGGCAAAGAATTTGAAAAAGATGAATACTTTAGGGAGGGCTGTCCAGTTGTTAGACATATCAAGTGGAATTAGAAGTAAATCAATTTGATACTGGTTCTAGAAATTAGATTTTCTTGTAGTCAAGTATTTGCGGTTTGAGCACAAAATAACATTACTCAATCTTCGTATTGTGCCAAATATTTTTGGAAGCTTTGAATTATGCACTGCAAAAGCATATCAGCCATAAATCATCCATGAGGTCAGTTTGTGTAGCAAAAATTGTAATGAGGATGTGATCAAGTTACAGCCGTTCAGACTTGGTTATATCTGAAAGGAAACATATGGGAGGGAAACTTGATAGCAGATTAGGATTAAGAACCCAATGGTTTTTAAGGCGTATGCAAGGAGGACATTAGAAATACCCAGGGAAGCTCATTCCCTTTATTTGTTGATCATTCAAACCTTTTTCCTGAAAGCCCCACAGTCAGAGGTTTCATTAGTGGGGCTACTGACCATGCATTGCTAGCCTGTAGTTCTGCTTCATGTCTCTCTCAGCTGAACTTGCTTATCCTGTACTAATCTAGCTATAAACTGAAATGAGTCCATCCTACCAAGTGTTCTGAAAATGGACACTTCCTGCAGCTTTCTTGGGGAGCTATTATGGTTGGCACTGGGGATCTCGAAATGAGGATATTCCAGCAACTCAGGTGCCTTACTGTCTGTCACTGTGGATAGTTTGCCACAATCGAGCTATTCTCTGTTCCTCTTTACTGCCACCACTATGCAGGGCCACAGAGGTGGTGCTGTGGCTATCAGCTTGGAGGAGTTCAGGGGATGCAAGGGCCAAGCTGGTGCTATAAAGCATCAGACTATGGTTTGACCTCCCATGCAAGCAATGCGTCCCGGCAGAAAGGACTGAACACTGTCCAGGCTGACTGACCCCACTTGCCCAGGAAGCAGCAATGACTACCTCCCTTGCTACAGATCTCCAGATAACAAGCCCTTGCATGGACTGATTGAAATTGTTTATCTGCTCCATTTCCAGCTCTCAAAGGAGCATGCAATACTGTAAAATGCCACCATAAACTGCAATTATAAAACAAAACTATAGCAACAGAAAACACCCCCCAAATTATTAAACTAGTAATGAGATGTATATATATATCAACTAATAATTTTCTCAAGAAATGAATGAAAGATTCGTTAGAATTCGCAGTCTCTTCCTGCTCCTAGGAAGGTAATGCCTGTTATATTCACTGTCACTGATTTTTTTGTCAAAAAATAAATGGATGGCTGTAAAATGCAGGTGCTGTGAGACAAGGAAGGCCGACACGAGGGTCACTGCGTGCCAGCAGCGAACCATGGCATTCCCCGTTTCTCCTGCTGGCCACAGAAGGGCGGCAGTGCCAGGAGTACCAACCCCAGCGGAGCTGCCGCTTCTGGACCATCTGAAGTTGCCCGCCCATGCTATAGGCAGAGCGCACGCACACAAAAATAGGCATAACAAAAACAAATCCTTAAAATTTTCCACTCACACTTTGTCCACAAGTTTCTTTGTTACAGCAATTATGTTCATACGCTGCGTTATTTCTTCACAGTATTTTATCTTTCTCTCTTTTCTTGGAAACACAGCTTCAGGTGCAAATGAATGCGTGGGAATTTCTTCTTTCCCTACCATGAATCTGAATTTTAAAATAAAACAAGATTATTTATTTCATTTATTTACAGTATTTTTACCCTCTCCTTAACAATGTTTCAGGACAGCTTACAACATAAATAAAACATAACAATAAATAAATACATCAATTACAACAAGCATAATAAAATGTGACTGAGCATGACCATTAAAAACTTAGTTAAAATATTTAAGTATTAAAATGCTGGGCGAATAAAAAGGTTTTTACCTGGCGTCAAAAAGAATATAACATTGGCGGCAGGCAAACCTCTCTGGGGAGCACATTCCATAGATTAGCAACACTCTGATTTCTGGGCTACTTTTTAAAATCATATATTTCAGTTACCTCTAGTTACGGTATAAGAAAGAACACCTTACAGTGATATTCTGAAAAGTTAGGACATTGTGGTTTCGTACTTCTGATATCCTGAAATTCTGTAACATTCTTTAAACTATAACAACTTCTTGTGACATTCTTTGAAATAAAATTACTGTTCATAATTTCCAGTTTCAATATCCCATATAAGTATAGTGTTACACAAAATGAAGAAAATTTGGGATATGAAAAGCTATGAGATTTTATATACAAGAAACTCAGGTGGCTTTAGGGTATTTACTTTATATTTACCTGTGTAGTGCTTGGGAATTTTAAATTGTGTCCCATCCCATTAATTTGGTAACATGTCAGCCAAAAGCAAAATGATTGCCTAATATACACTAATACAATTGCAGATAACAATTAAACTAATATAACTGTAGATTACAAATACATTAAAATAATTGTAGATTTGTGCATTTCAATATATTTAAGGAAAAAAGATACAAGATGTAGCATAGTTTTAAAATTAGCAAATGTCTGGACATCAAGAGTTTGGAACAGACTGAAATATTTGTTTCCTGCATTCCACTTAATATATTTTTCAATGTCCTCCTCTTAGAGTTACACAACATTTCACTCAATCTGAGCTGCTTAAGAAATAATACTTGTTGGATTTACTTACTTCAGCGCTGAGAATGTAAATCCTTTCAAACCATCTTTGCATCTGAAACATCAACCAAATATTTTAGGTGTGTTAGTCTGGTAGGACCCAAAGTCACAGAACAGTCCCACAATTTACAAAAAGACAATTGACACAACTGGAGCCTTGCAACTTGCGGGAAGGTTACACATCACACAAAGTCTCCTTGTTAAGAAGCCATGGCAGGTTGGTTGTTCACAGAAAAACCCACGCTATGCCAGACAGACAATCAGACTTACCAAGGATTGTTCCCCTCTGTTCCCTCAATCCTCCAGCTCTAGCATGCCTCCCAATGTCCTTTGCAACAGCACCCTGGTTGATTTCCCTGCTCTAATCGCTACATCTTTTTCTTTCCTCCCTCAAAATGCCACACTTTGGGCCATATTTTGAGCCCCTGAAAACTGTATTCATTTTTATTATTGTGATTGTTGGCCTTTCATGACTGTTGAATATGTCCAATAGCTATCCAAAATGTGTCGGCTTTCCTGTCAATGTCCTTGTCGTTTCAGCTTTCTAAGGAAAGGGGGACTGGAGTGGTCAACAGACTAGCATACTGAGGCTGCATACAGGCTAATTTGTACACAGTTGACTGGGCCCCATCGCCAGGTTATCACTTGAACAGTGCTGGGATGGTGCGGTGGAGAGAACAGCAGGTGCACCAAGGGGGCATGGGAGAAACAGCATCCATAGCCAATAGCTTTCTCTCAATTTTATGTCTCGAATTTACAATTCGAAGTACCTTCTACTTTTCAACACTTTCTTTGATCCTCCAGATGCTCCAGAATGGGGATATTGTTCAAAAACATTCTCACCCACACTGGAGAACTGTCAATGAACCAAGATGTTGAAAAGTGGGTTATGGTGTCATCCAAACATAGCTAAGGGAACAAACCATGGTGAACAACACTCAATTCTCAACCCAAAACAAACCAACCAGAAGGGTTACCACAGTTCATGATCTACGCAGAAAATGATGAAATGAGTTCCACACTGTCGTGGTTTCCATGCTCCCTACTCAGTCCTGCCGTTTGTATAAACCACCACACCTGAAATTCACTTCCAAGTTGCAATACTCCCTGCCTATGTTGCCTGTTCTTTCTCGTGTGTCTGCACATAGAGACTGAATACCTAGAATGGCTCCTGTAGTTGCCACTCTTTCCAGAGGACTCTGGTAGTTGCATACCAATACCATGGAAACTATGATACTGGGTTCAGACAAGATGTCAAGCCATGGTGGCATAGAGAAACCATAGAACAAACCCTTGTTTCTTACAGTGGTTTCTAAAGGCCAAACTTACCATGGTGAAATACCACAAATGAGTTCAGAGAACACAACAGAGCAACAATGATAAAAACCCTAATGGCTTCTTGAGCTGTCTGAACCCAGTCAAACAACCCACGGTAATCCCATACTCAGTCACTGGGTGTGAGCAATACCCCTTCACAGAAATATAGGCAAATCTACAGGCTGGGAAGTGAACAGAGAAGAAATCAGTACACATGCAATAAAAGAGCAGTTACTGCTGGTGTGCAAATCCCCCTCCGCTTATCTCTCAGCAGTTAAATCTGTGCATATTCTGCCCCCATATGCCTCCTGGCTATTACATTTGTGTGCATTTCTTAGTTTTTTAAAAATAAATAACAGGAAGCCACAGTAACGGCAGTAGTAATTACCTCCACAAGAAGCCATGGAAAGGGAGGAGTTAATATCTCCTTTACTTATTTTTTTATACATAAAAATACTTTTATATTTTCATTTATATGCCACTTACTACTGTAGTCTCAAAGCAGCTTTCAATAAAGATAAAGATAAAAACACATACAATACATATATAAAGATAAAACAAGAGGTAGAGCTTTTTATCGAGTAGGGAAGCGTGGAAAAGGTGCAAGGCACTGAGACGTGTCAATTCAACACTGAAACCATAGAGGAATACACTGCCAAGGATGGACCATCACCCTCCCCTTGCCATGTCTGGTGCACTCATTTTGTTGGACCCCTCCCCCCATTTTGGTTCCTCTGACTTGTGCAATCATGCTCCACCTTCTCTTCCTGTTATTTCCCCCTTTGCAATTATGAATATATTAGCCAATAGGCAACTTCGTCTTGTCAACACTCATATCAAATAACAAGAGTGTGCATTTGTGCACCTGCAGCAGACATACAAAAATAGTTTAAAATTTACAATCCCAAGTGCACATTTTAGGCAACAATTTGTTGTTGTTGTTGTTGTTGTTTTAAAGGGGGATATGGCATCAGCAGAAGGACAATCATGGGTGACAACATGAAAAGTGAACGGTATTACTTTTCTGTGAGGCTCTGTAGACATTCCTGTTGTGCCATCCAGTCTTTTCTGACTTATGACAGCCCTGTGAATGAGTACCCTCCAAAATGTCCTGTCCTACTCAGCTATTGCAAAATTATGGCTGGGAATTCCTTTATGGAATCAGCCTATCTGCTATCTGGGAGTCATTCCTAACAACCCATAAATGAATCACCCTGTTGGGATTACATGACACAACAAGCCATTGTGGCTAGGAACAATCCTAAAACAAGCCATGGCTTCCAGTGCAGCTTGTTCATGAAAAGTAAGCTGAGCTGCAGAAACTGTGCTGGGTCCAGCTAAAATGGCAACCCACCGTGACTGATCACCCCATTGATTTTCATGTTATGCAAACCAGGTCTGTGGAGCTCCCGCCATTCGGTTGGAGACCATAGCCAAAATGTCTGTAGGCGGTAATTTTGTTATTGTTTGTTCTCACAACTTTTATTTAAAAAACATGTAACACAAGATTTCCCTAGGGAAAATACCTGAAGCCCAACAGTGGGACTGTCTGTTCCGATTTCCATTCCAACACCTGCCAAAAAGTTCTACCATTCAGCCAGCAGATGTCCCCAATAGGCAGTACTTCAAGTGGCAATTTACATATGCCAAAACAAACCTCCCCAAAATAAATGTGCTGCTTAGATGGAAAGATGACAGACAGACATTCATACTGGTCAAGCACCAAAAGCAGCTTCCCTTAAGACATTTCATACTTCAGTCTGGATGCTCAAATATATGGCTATCCCAGCAATTATGTGTTGTGCAGATACATTTCAAATACAGGTCTTCCCTTTAAAGGACACAGAAGCAAAGCCCTTCCCAATGGCTATGAAATGCACATGAACTTTGTACCTAATAAACACTGTGGAAACAGGTCAAATCAATGCTTCAAAGAGGAGGGAAAATCATCACTTGTATATCAAGAGTATTTTGGTATTTTCCATATTTTATAGCAAAAATACTAGGGAAGTATCCAGACTGGGTACACATGAGGACCCCGCTAAATAATACCTTTATATAAGGCATATAAACCTCTCTTGGTGTTTAAGGGGACAAGAAAGGAAGGAGTGCCTATGTAGGTAGCTTTATGCACCATTCATTCACTCAGTTAAGTAAACTGCATGACAGTTATTTGCCATATTGAAACAGTGGCCAGGAATGCACACTGAAACCGTCCACCCACAGCTCACCGTGGGTTGTCTTGGAGCAAGCAGGAGCAAGAGCAAACTCTGGGGTATTTCTCCTTCAACAACCCAGAGTTCTGGGTTCAGATGTTATAGGAAATGAACAAGAGACAGAGCTGTGCTGGAAGCAGGCCGCCAGGCAGGAGCCAGTACGCCCGTTTGGCCCTGGACTATCCACAGTTAACACACTGCCGGCTGTTTGATCGTGCAAATCAGTTTGTTTTGTGACCCCCTATTTGTCGACCCTTAACCAGACAAGGGTTGTGAGAGTTCTTTCACAGGATTTGCCTGCTAGAAGCAAGGACAACAAAGCAGGCTATTAAAGATAGTCCTCTGTCCCAGAACTCAGTATAACTAGTGCTATTTGTATAAACAAATGTATTTTATGTGACGAGTCTGTCAGATTTGAGGAGGGCCCCTCTGCGCATGCCAGATTTTCTATGTACATCTCAGGTTCCAAAACTATACAAAGTGGCACTGGTTCCAGCCATGAACCTAAACATGTAACCTGAAGTGGAGGCACCCAGATTTGGGGAAAGCCCTTGAAATTAATCAAGACAGTTCCTGGGAATCAAGAAACATTTCCATCCAAACTGGGACATGTTGTTGCCATGTATCACATGACGTGAACAAAGAATCTTTTTATGTAAAAAGGCTCTCCCAGGACTGCCAGACTTTATATCTTGTCTGAAGACATAACTTTTCCATGCACGGCAGCACTGGTTTCAGTCATGTCCCTGGAGACATAAACAGAAGCATTTGAGGTTGGACACCGTCACATTTCATGTGTCAGGGCACATTCCTACACAAAATGGCAAATGTTTCAACCACAGCCTCATAGGTAACAAGTGGCGCTGTGTGTGTGTATGTTTTGGGGGGAGGCCTCTCCAATTTAGAAGCCCATTAGTTACTTTACAGGATTCTCATGTCTTTAGTAGATATAGAGGAACCTTTATATTGCAGCGATTCAGAAAGCATCTTATTATGAAGAAAGTGAACTTTTGCTCTAATAGTGTCTCTTGATGAAAATTAATGGGAAAAAAGGAATACACATTTATTTCACATATTTAAAGCTCTCAAGCAAATAAACAAAAGAATGAAATGTTGATGGTTAGATTAAGGATCTTTAAGACAGAATGGTCTGATGTTTCACTAACCACAACTTGCAAGATTTTTAAGAAACACTATGAAAGTAAATTGTCTTGAGAAGCAGTTCATACGTAGCATATGCGTGACCTGGTGAACAATGCATCACAGCCAGCCTTTAAATGGCTATCTTTTATTGTGATTTTGCACCCCCAAATACCGATCAGCTGCTTGGGAATATCACCATCACTCTTTCAGTGAGCAGATTATTTGGTGCTCACTATAATGAATATTTATATGTGCACAGACTTCAGTATGAAATGTTTCAGTCCTTGGTTATTAAAAACTATAAGTAAAGGCCTTATATCTTATAAAACACACAATGAATCTTAGAAAAATATACCAGGGGTGACAGTGGGGATAATGG